ACTTGGCCAGACCACACCCGACGTTGCAAAACACATATCAATTCATGGTCAACCTTGATATCATGGAAGAGTTTATCATTTTGTAACTAAAAAACACTTCCTTTTTATTAAATTTGAGGAACATGACCCTAATTTTATGTTTTCAACTGAGGTCTAAAGCTTGTGTATATTCCCACTGGGCATAATATTGATGTGATTCAAGATTCCCCAATGACGTTAATGTAATTAAAGTAAACCCACCAAACCATCAGGTTCAAACAACTTTGAATAGATTCCACTGTTAAGAATCCCAAACGACATTCGATTTCCAAAAATTCAGCAATTAAACAACAATATTTCAGATCAATACTCAACATTATCCAGATAATCATATAATTATATACAAAATAAAAAATAAAATCAATGTAACGTCCCAAAAATAAGACCGAAATTTTTTCATTTTTAGATTAATTAAATAATAACCATATCATTGTCATAAAACCATGGTAAATAAATTGTATCAACATCATCAATCATCAGAGTAAATCACAAAATGCGGAATCGAGTGGTGTGTGCTCTGCAATCATCCCGGTCTCTTCCCTTTTGAACCAGAAGTACCTGAAACATAAACTAAAAACTGTAAGCACAACGCTTAGTGAGTTCCCCAAAATACCACATACCATACATACATAAATAAACACATAATGGGCCCCGCCCGACATACAGATCTGTCAGTCATCAAGCCCCGTCTGGCATCGCGCCCCTCTCGGTATACATAAAAGCATATAATCATATAAACATACAAACATATGCGATAATCACAAAGATAATAGCATACAATACAGTCATCGGGCCCCGCCCGACATCGAGCCCCGTCCGGTAAACATATACACATAACACATGCAAGAGTTACGCAGACAACTAGCATACTAACATATCAAACCAGGGGCCGGTATTGGTGCCTTCGACCCGCTAAACACAGTGAGGAAACTCACCTCAGGCTGCTGGATCTCACAAATAAATATCTAGATGTTGGCCCGCTAAGATCCCCGCGCTATTACAAAATAACATTCAATTAATAATTAGATCTCGACTAACACTAATAGTCCAAAACTAGGGTAAAAGACCTTTTTACCCTTCCCTAACTTTGCCCAAGGCCAAAGCCCAATCCAAATGTCCAAAAAGCCCAAATTTACAAAATAATCATCCAAGGCCCAAATATGGCCCAATTTTCCAAATTGGGCCCAAACCCCCTTCATGGGCCTTCAACCAAAGAGTCCAATAATTATCCTTAGCCCAAACCAATATTCTGATGGCCCAACAAGGCCCTAACCATCAAGAGTCCAAACATGGCCCAACACCGTGAGCCCAAACGATTTTGTAGCCCCTCTGCTGAGTACGCGGGGCGTACCCAGCTCGTCCTCTAAGCTTACTTGCTTTGGGGATTACACACACGACGTACTAGCTTGTACGCCCAACGTACTTCCAGATCAGCCAACTTTTTCTATTAAGCACTTATTTGGTTAAAGACCTCGACCCAAATCTTAGATCTGACATCCCTAAGGTGGTTTATCACGTAAAGTTGCCAACTTTACGTACATGCATGGCTTAATGGGGCTCTAGAGCTCAAAAGAGCTTAATAAATGACTTAATACATGCATGAGACCAAAACCCCCCCATAAAGTTTGCACCTTTATGCTTAAGAAACCCTTAATATGCCTAGATCTACAAGGATAAGCTCCATAAACGACCTTAGCTCACAAAACCAACCAAAAAGGGACCAAAATAGCTAAAAAAAGCCAATGAATAGATCTATGAAATGAGTTGACAAGCTTTGAGCTTTATACCTTAAATGCCACGAAATGGAGATGCTAAAGCTGGATCTCAAAGCTCTTCTCCAAAGGATGAGCCTTCAACCTTCTCCTTCCTCTTCAAGATGCACAAAACACACCAAGAATGCTTCACAAGAGCTCCAAAGGCAACACACAAGGCTAAGGGACGAAATTAGGGTTTTAAGGGTAAAGAGGTTGAGTAAACATGTTCAAAAGAGTCTTTGCGTCCATGCAATGCTAGTACGCTAAGTGTACCACTCCAGTACACCCCGCGTACTAGCTGAGGGACTATTTTGCAAACTTTTTTTATAAAGAGGCTAAATAAGAAACTTACCAATATCCAAGTGTTACAATCAATTTCATAGATGGATAAGGGAAGAAAGGAGATTGATTTTACAAATGGAGAATAATAAAAGAGAAGCTTACCGGTTGAAGAAAGATTGTGGAACATTGTTGCTAACCTTGAAATCGAACCGAGAAAGAGGCAAGAGTGGTGCTGATATCTGTTTGCCTTTGCAGACGTCGGAGTGGGCAAGGAGAAGGAACGCATGAGAATGGCAATAAGGGAACGAGTCTTTTATGTTTTAGTCAACGAGTTTTTTTTAGATGGCTCAGTCAGACATTCATGACCAAGTAAGATGCAGCATAGGAAGGTATCAAACGTATTGATCTGACCGAGTCAACCAAATAGGTTTGACTGGACTGAGTCGGCAACATATCAAACAACGCCTTAACTCTATCTAATCAATTTATATGAGAAAGAGTAAAGTATATTTCTTTATTGTGATATATTTTTCTTTTTTTTATTCTGTATAAAATGAATTTTATTACTTTTTTCGGTTATTTTTTGGTGTTTTATTTATATATTTTTTTTATTTTAGAGTAGGCATTTAAATGAGATAGCATCATATATGCATTTCTCGTCAAAATAGTTGTGCACTAAGCTACCTGGCCTCTATTTAAAGTATGTGATCGTTTTCCTTGGATGTGAACTTTATACTTCATCTTGAAAAAACATCGCAGTCTAAGGGTAAGGTGACGAGTATGAAGATGAATATGAAGATTATTGCGATGTTGCTTGAGCGATTATTGTGAAAAAACGTTGTAGTCTTCTTTTTTTGTGGTTGTGTTTCTTTTTTTGTGAAATTTGAGAATGAAATTGTGATATTAAATGATTTTATGTAGTGAATAACTATTTATAAGAGTACAATCGGAAAAAATAACAAAAAAAAAAGCTTTCAGACGTGAAGGAACGTGGCTGGGTTTATAGGACACCACATGAAATAAGCATCACACATCTGGTGGTGGTGTTCACACAATTAAAAGCTTCCACCTCAACATCACACGGCTCGTGTAATATGCTTCTCTATTCAATAACATTGAGAATACACTTGGTTACTATCATTAAGGTTTGTTTTGCATGCAAGTTGTATTTTGAGCTATGATGTAGAGTTATGAACACAATATGCAATCATTCAGATTTGATTTTGAGAATTTGATGTTCTTAAGATTATCTAATGAATGTATAGTCATTTTTTTAAAGAAATTGTTACGTTTTTTTCATATAGTCATTTGAAAGGTGAGACCATTTTAATTGGTTATTCATTAAGATGGCAAAATGGTATAGTATTTTGGAGAGTAAAACGAGACCCATATATTACTTTTAGGGATAATGACTTAAAAGGGTAACATATTATTCGATTTGTACACATTTGGTCACTGAGTTTTTTTTTTCGTCCACATTTACCCCTTAAACTTGTTAAACTGTACACATTCAGTCCTTATGACCTGTTACTCCAGGTTAGCCGGGAAAAATGACTTGATAGGGTAATATATTTTTCATTTTGTACACATTTAGTCCTTAATATTTTTGTACATATTTAGTCCTTAACATTGTTTTTTTGTTTCAAAATAAGTCATTTTTTGTACTCATTCAGTACTTATGAATGATTTTTTTAGGTTTTTTTCACGACATCTTACGTGAGACAATCATTGATGAGGTGCTTGGGGTTGTTGATGCTTATGTCCAATGCAATCTCGACTGCTTGGTTGCGTAAGTCTTGTGGTTTGGCTTAGGTATTGTATTTTGAACATCGTAACTTCTTCATACGATATCAGATTTTAAGGATCTTTATCCACGTGTTCATTTTTTGAGTCTACTACAACTTTCATTAAGATTACTCCCGTTAAAATGTAATATATTTTTACTAACGATTTTATAAAAAAAACATACATACATACATTCATAAAAAAACGTATGGACAGGGGAAGACGCAATAATACATAGTAGGTGTTGCCGATACATGGAAAATAGGTATAAACGTAAAAAATAAAGCGAAATATTTTCCACTGCGAACAGAAAAAACAGGTGTTGTCGGTGCAACATCGGGACCATACTAAATCCGCCACCGCGTATGGATATAAAAATCGTAAGTAAAAATATATTATTTTTTAATGAGAGTAATCTAAATGAAAGTTGTAGTAGACTAAAATACGAACACATGGATATAAAGATTGTTGAAATCCGAGATCATATGAAGAAGTTATGACGTTCAGAACACATGACCTAAGCAACCAAGTAGTCGAGATCGCGATGAATATAAGCATCAAAAGCCCATACACCTCATTAATGAATGTCCCATGTAAAATTTCGTGAGAAAAAACTAAAAAATCATTCATAAGTACTGAATGATTACAAAAAAAATGACTTATTTGCAAAAAAAAAAAAAAAAAAAAAGGACTAAATATGTACAAAAATATTAAGGACTAAATGTGTACAAAGTGAGAAATATATTACCCTATTAAGTCATTTTTACCGGGTAACCTGGAGTAGCCGGTCATAAGGACCGAATGTATACAGTTTAACAAGTTGAAGGGGTAAATGTGGACGAAAAAAGAACTCAATGACCAAATGTGTACAAATCGAAAAATATATTACCCTTTTAAGTCATTATCCCTTACTTTTACTTTGTTTATGTTTATGACGTTTTTTATATATTTAAGATTTTTTTTTGAAGTTTTTATAACTTCATTCGAAATGCCAAGCATATTGTCCATCACGCAATGTAAAGCGCGTGGAATGAAAAGAACAAAATCGGCCATTAAACTTCTACCTTGCGCCATTACCGTCAATAAAACATCGCTTTCCTTGACTCCCTCCTCTGTATGTGCGTGTATATATATAATTAGAACGCAAACACCAAATTCCGTATTAAATTAAATTGGAAATTTCCTCTGTTTCCCTATTTTTCGCCGTCGACGACCAACCAGGAATTAGAAATCGAAAAAAAAAGACCTGCGGTAACATGCCCTGTGCCGTTGCACCAACGAACTCGCCGGTGTTCTTATCGTCACCGATGTTTGGTAAACCGATGATCTCTCCGTCATCATCGCTCTCTCTCCGTCATACATCTCCGGCGCCGTCACCTCCGTCGTCATACCTTCATAACCCTACCAATGGATATAAGGAAGGAAAGATTATCAGTTGTGATTCGAATCCCTCGCCGTCGGTTGTCTTGAAGAGGAAGAGGCCGGCGAGGATTCAGATTCCATTTGCACCGTTGAGTCTTATGGATGAGGTTGCGAAACCGAACGATGAAGTGGCGGAGATCGATGAGGAAGGGGAGGAGTATTCTGTGTATTGTAAAAGAGGGAAAAGGGGAGCCATGGAGGACCGATATTCTGCCGTTGTTGATCTCCAAGGAGATACCAAACAGGTATATATGCTTTGATTTCAAATTATTTTGATTTGTTGCTAAAACTATTATCATCTGCGTTATCAAACACAATAAACTTTGTAATCGGTTTCAGTCTCGTAACGTAAATCAATAAGATCTACCGAAATTGGACTAAATTTAATCCAATCAACATGAAGAAGTCCAGTATTCATGAAAATTTTCAGCATCGATCGCCATATTCTTCTTGAGCAGTGCTTCGTTGTTTCGCCATTGACGTATCTAAATCGTTTATACATGATGATTATAGGCCTTTTTTGGTGTTTTTGATGGGCATGGAGGGGAAAAGGCTGCAGAATTCTCAGCAAAGCATCTGCATAGCAACATCATCTCCAAAATAGCAAACAGATGTGAATATGAAATCGCAGAAGCTGTTAGAGAGGGATATCTCGCAACAGACTCGGAATTTCTAAAAGAAGACATCAATGGGGGAACTTGCTGTGTGACTGCATTGATTCGTAAGGGCAACCTCATAGTCTCCAATGCAGGTGACTGTCGTGCAGTTATGAGCCGAGGTGGAGTTGCAGAAGCTCTCACTGTCGATCACAAACCTTCAAGGAATGACGAAAAAGATAGAATCGAGTCCATGGTAAGAACTAATTTAGACCCATTCCTTCTTGAATGTGGTTGTGATGACTGATATCAATCAATATACTCATAAAAGGAATGAAGTCTTAGTGATTTGATTTTGATGAATGTTGATTTTAGGGTGGATATGTTGATTGTCGCAATGGCGTTTGGAGAATACAAGGTTCACTTGCGGTATCAAGAGGAATTGGAGACAAACATCTCAAGAAATGGGTGATTTCAGAACCAGAAACAAAAATCCTCCAAATTACACACGAATGCGAGTTCTTAATCCTTGCTTCAGATGGAATCTGGGATACGGTAAATGCTTGTTATGATTATTTTACAAATATTTTTGTAAACATTATTAATCCAGATAAAAAAAAAAGGAAATGTAATTTTTACACCGAATAATTGTTAATTACATCTTTTCAGGTGAGTAATCAAGAAGCAGTTGACATTATTCGCCCTTTTTGTGTGGGAATCGAAAAGTCTGATCTTTTTTCCGCTTGTAAGAAGCTGGTCGGCTTATCGACATCAAGGGGTTCGTACGATGACATGAGTGTTATGATTATTAGATTGTCTAATTTCACTTCTTGAACATATAACAAATAGATCAACCCAACATCAGTTACATACAAATTATTGGATGTTTAGAGTCGATAGATATAAATTATTGTTTATTCTTTTTTTAATCCTAATTCCTACACAATCTAATGTTTTTCCCGTTTATGTATTCTTATTTGATGAGATTCGTGAAATGAAATTACATACATGGTATGCCCCCATTTTTGGGGTCATAATGAAAGTAAAAATGTTTGTACTTTGTGCTTGTATTTTTATTCAATTTGATATTGTGACAAAAAATTAAAAAAAATAATATTTGGTATTTAAATAAAGGGATTAAGTCAAATAGATTCTCGTTTTTAACCCTACATTAAGTTTAAGAAAATATTATAGAAAATAATAATTAATGAAACTATATAATTTAATGATTCGTTGATAAACATTAGGTAAAAAGTATTATAAATGAAAATATACATTTAAAGATAAATGTTTAACAATTGATCATAGTATTTTTTTTATTTTTTTTTCTTTTGTTATTAGAGAAAAAGACAAATATGAGCATATTCTTATGAGTATTTTTACAAAATAAGCAAAAAAGAAAAAAAAACATTTTTTACAAAATAATCACCAAATTTGCAATTGACCTATTTTGAAATCATTGTTTGCTGTGAAATTTGTCCTCCTAAAATATGCAATTTTTTAACATCTTTAATCTCTTTTACACAGTGTTTTTTCTTTTGAAAAATCTTCCTCAACCTAAAACTTCATTTTCGCACTATGAAGTTTATTTATGCTACAAATTTGGTATTTGAAGATCCCACAATAAAAGGAACTTCAACCTTTTTGATGTTTATAAACACAAATTGTCATATTACAATTTAGCATTGAAAATTTGCAACTTGGCATGGAGAAATCGTAATTGACATTGCTAATGTCAAATAGCAAGTTGGCATTATGAAATTAATAGCAAATTAGCATTGCTAAATTGATAAACTTTTATTGGATTTTATTTTTGGATATCATAGTAAAAAAACAAATTCGCTGTAAATAGTGATTTCTCAGTGGTCTATTACGAAATTTGTAGTTATTTTGTAGAAACTAGAAATTAGTTGGCTATTTTGTGAAAAACCATTATTATATTTGTACTTTTCTTGTGTGAAAAGCCATTATTATATTTATAATTTTCTCTAGTTTTTTTATCTATTATATTATAACTATAAATAATATATCTAAATTGAAGCACAAGGTCAAATAAGTGAGCCTTGGTAGGTGGATCACATAGTTGGTTTTGTTTGGAACATGAAAAAACTGTGCTGCTGGTTCTAATTCATTTTATATTCAAGTAACACCTGGTCAACCGGGTGATGCCTGCCACTCTGTTCTAAACCAATGCTTTTGACTCTTTTTTTTGGGGATCACATCTTCTTGCCATTGACCATAACAAACCTACGTCCAAATAATTTTGTTTTTAAGAAATTAAGTTATAATTTACAAATAATATTTCATAAAAGTGGATAAATAGATGTTAAATGATTTCCGCATCTATTTACTATCACTCGTGTTTTTTTTTTCTAAAATCATAAGAAAATTTTGCATGCTTTGTAACAAAAATGAATGGTGATTGTATATTTAGTTAAAGAAAATAATACAGCAAAATAATTGTAATTCTTAATTATCAATCGTCATATGAATCTTTGAACTTTGATTGGAATTCATATATATCCAATAGAATTGTGTTTTTCCATTTCGTGCAGTAATCTTATGAAAAGGTTTTGAGGGTATGTCTCAAAATTATCATAACTGTCATTTTAATTTAGATATCCTTACCGTAACAACCCTTCAAAAGTTATATTGAATCATGAATATCAAAGATTGAATATTAAAGGTGAAAGGGGTGGTGATATTTTTACTTATTAAAATTAGATGACACATAGAAATTACATAAGCTTTTGTAATTCTTACAATTTTGAATTTTCAGTGTGTATGAGTGGGGTGTGTTGTCATCCTTTAACTACCAGCCATCTTTTAACTAAAAAAATATAAAGCTTAAATCTCATGCAATGTATTATATGTGATGCTAATGCAATGTATTATATGTGATGCTAATGGTACAAATCTATGTCTCATTCAAAAAAGACAAAACTGCAAATTTAGTCCTTGTGGTTACAAAAATCTTTGGATAGGGTCAAAAAAGTTTTTAACATGGCAGGTCCAAAATCAAGGTTTTTCTGAGTTTTTGGTCCCTGATACACTTGAAAAGTCGATTTTACCCTTTTCATTTCTTTTTTCTATTTTCTTTATTTAATTTGGTATTTAAATAATTAAAAAAAACTAAAATCTCTCTCTCTCTCTAGATCACCCACAACCCAATCACCAGCTTCATCTTCTCTAGTGTTTCTTCACATGTACCTCCATAGAAAAATCCACACATTGGGACTAACATCTGCATCAAATGAAACTAAACTTGATGATAATACCTTCATCAAAATCGCCTTCCACCCCATTACCGGAGATGCTATCAGAACCCTAAATCTAACGCCACTGCCGCCATCATTTGGGATAAATCAATCGCAGGAAGCAACGACAGTGTTTATCACTCTTCTCCTCGTTGATCTCTGAATATCAAATCGATGGTCTTGTATCCCTGGAACGTTGTTTCCTTGATCTACTTCATGGTTCAACCTTCAAAGTATCTGGGTCTAAACCTTCATCATCTGGGTTTCAAAATTCTAATCGTGTAAATCGAGGTGGGATTTGAAGTCAAGTGGTAGGTTCTTTTTAATTTCAGTTATCATTCTTAGATTTGAGTTAGAATTTGAGTTGCAGGTTAGATTTTAAGTTTAAGCTCTTGGTTTTGATTTGAGGTTAGAATTAGATTTCAACAATGGTGGTGGATGTCGTGATTGGTTGTTGTTGGCGGAGGTGAACTGTGGTGTTTGTTGGAGGTGGACAATGGTCCTGTTGTGACAACCCGAAACTTCTATCTTGTACCTTAGTCAAATTCTATCAATGTTAAACTCGTTTCAGCTATCTTTAGCATTGTTTTGAGCCTGTTTGGATGATCTAAAGCCTTGTACAACCAAAGTTTAATTAGGGATGGGTTGGTTAAGATTTAGGGTTGCAAATAGGCCAAACACTCCATCAAAAGGAGTGTGTGGCCACACACATGAGTGTGTGGCCGCACACCCAGTGTATGGCCGCACACATGATGTGTGCCGCACACCCGAGTGTATGGCCGCACACACGAGTGTGTGGCCGCACACCCATCCTCCAGCCACACACTCATCCCTATTTATATAGGGTGACCCCTTCACTCATTCCTTTCATTTGGCTGCACTCTACTTTCTCTCTCTACTTTCTCTCTCTACTTTCTCTCTCTAAAAACTTCATCCAAGAACGCTCTTAAGGCCTCAAAAACGTGATTTTTCCATCACCTAGCTTACCATACATGAAGGACCCATTGATCTAAGCCCTGACCATCAAAGTTCATCATGTTCTTCATCACATGAAGGTGTACGGCCGCACACCTTCATAAGTGGTCGTACACACCTTAAAGCTCTCTAAAGTGAAGAGTTTGGCCTTCATTCACTAGTAGGACTTGGTATTAGCACTAGAACATCTAAAAATCGACATTTCGGGCATAAATGAGGAGTGTACGGCCGCACACACCCTCTGTACGGCCGCACACACAGCCTGGCCGCACACACACCCTAATGACCATACACCTCCTTTGTTTGATCACATAAGGTCCTGACAAGCGTTACCAAGTCTTTAGGGTGGTTTCCTGTCATGTTTTGTCATTGAATACCTAAATCTAATACATATATGTGCTAGTATATTGTTACTAGGATCCACTTGAGTGCGAAACCCTCATTAACACTCAACACTCGTAACCGATCATCCGCTCGATCATCTGTCAACAGTGAGTTCATACCCCTACATTTTCCGTGTTTTT